CCCGGAGTGGGGCCCGCGGGGCGCCGTGCGCCCGGGGCTCTGCCCGGCGGTTCTCCCCCGCCCGTCTCGAGGTTACCGGCCTCGGGCGTAGTAAACCAGCACCTGCGCGTCCCTGGACAGGCTTCCGAGGGGCCCCTAGGAGCCCTCCGTGGCACAGGGAAACAAAAGCTGTGCAGTGGATTTGAAGTGCAGCCTGTGGCCTCTTGCTCTTTGAAGTTACGCACAAGCATGAAGTGAGCCTGTGCTGGTGACAAGCCCAAACTTCTGTCGAGGAGCAGAACTGTTCTCAAAGTCAAGTCTTGTGTTGATTAAAGCCGGCCAACGTGAGGCTATTTTGGAAAGTTGTGAATAACGCTTCAGGTGTTTGGGCTCGCATTCCTCTTTGTGCTGGGTGGGATTGGCGTTGTCTGTGTTCGCACTGTGGAATACTTTGAGGAGAAAAGAGCTGGTGCTTGCCTGATGCAAATAATTAAACTTTCATTGTAGCCGTAATTTCACACTTAAAACTCTGCTGATGGCATAAATAGGAAAATCAAGTATATATATAATCGAGTATGTATTGTAGAATACTATATATAGTGGATGTAGTATCAAGTATATATAGTAGAACCACCAGGATTTTTTGTGTAGTCTGGGCGTGCACTTGACAGAATGTGTGGGTTTTTTTTTTTTTTTAAACAAGGCAGGACCTCTTTTAGCAACATGTTTGACATGTTGACTCATTTTTGCTTTTTCACAATTTCTTGGTAAAAGTGAAATGTCAGTGCAACATAGTTGTGGGTATTCCTAGTCCTGGGAAATGACGATACCTATCAGTGTAGGAACCATAGGTGTTAGGGTGATTTCACTTGAAGGTTCCAGTCTTTTTACAGAAGTATTTTTGTTTTGAAGGTTTGTAATTAAAAAGCAGGTAGACATGTATGTGTTCTAGGCTTTGTTGTTTTTGTAATTTTTCCTGTGTTGGAAAGTCATGCATGTTAAAAGTTGGTCAGCGGTTTTGTACAAACTTGAGTGTCCATATCTGTGTCAATCTTGTTGTAGGACTTGAGACTTTGTGGAATGTCAAGTCAAATTGTTTTTTGTTCATCCTGTGACCTGTTATAGCCTAGATTACACAATTAGTTAAACATTTTAAATATTATATCATTCTTTTGGTACAAAGCTACATGTACACAAAAATGTCAATGTATTTATGGAAAACTGTTGCTTGATTGGATCCTGGCTCTTTAAGATCAACTTTTTAAGTTAAAAGAAGAACTTTTGTTTGTACAGGTAGTTTCTGGTTCTTAAGTAAACTATAATTTGTCTTCTCTCTAGGCTGAAGACCATATAGCTTCAGAACCAAGGATTAAAAAACTGGAACCAGTACTTCTGCCAGGTAGGCATAAATCAGGAATTGGGCAGATACCTCAACAGGGATATATTTAAGCCTTTTGTTTATTAAAAAAGAATTGGTAAAATGTAAATGGTTTTCCCTGTTTTATTGTGATTATTGATATATATCAATATATATCTTAATCTTAGCATGTTCCTTGAGGGAACGTAACTTCTGAAAAGAAAATCTAATGATATTTGCATTTGTAGAAAATTGTTCTAACCTGCTTGAAACACTAAATAAATGCGTAGGCAAACTTGCCTATATAATGCTTTAGTATGTGTAAAATAATATCTTGATTTTATTGTGAGTATTTGAAATGAAACCGTTGTAAATTTTGTAATGTTTATGACGCCTTTTGGAAGACTACTAATAATTATATTTTTGTCAGATAGTCAGACCCTCACCTGTGTGCAGAACCCACTATCATAGCATGTGTTGTAGTCTTCCTTTATTTTAAAGGAAAATATTCATAGAATTTCCAGTAGGTAGGTATGCTTGACTTCTGTGTTGGAAAACTTCTAATGCCATCTTTATTCCTGTTATGTAATTTTGGAATTTGTAAGTGTCTTTAAAAAGGTTATTCTGCATAGGTTTAGTGTGTGAATGAGAAAAGTGATGTTTTTATTGTTGTTCATAATTAAATATTTATAAAAATGTAGGGTATTCCTGACTTCCATTTTTTAAATAAGAAATAATCTTTGGTAAGTGACATTTTGATCAATGAGGATTTCTAAAAGCCTTTTTCAGATCCCAAAGGAACAATCTACTGTTCTCAAGGTTACTTTCGTTGCAAACTGTACATCACAGTCATAAATCTGGCTTGCTGTTTCTAAGGGTAACTTAGTTAAAATGCAGTATGCCATTCTGTTTTACTTCTTAGCATTCAGTTTTTGTGTGTTAATAAATATGAGTTAACACATACATACTAATGTAGGAAGCTATTGCTGTCATGTTGTCTAAGTTGATAAAACGTGAACTTTCAAAGTGATCAATAGAATAAACAAGTTACTCTTAAAAAAATATTTCGGTTACTGCTTCGTATGGGACTGTTGTTAATTAAGCAGTACTAATTGATATGTCATATAGTCCAGTGAAGTACCTTAAACTTAAGAAGCTGAAATATTGTGGAAGAGTTTCAACTGAAAGAGTAAATAACAACTGACGGAAACTCTTCATGAAACAAAATAATACAGATTGTGCTTGAGGCATAAGTGCCCTAAAATACATTGCTAAGATTGCTTGGTATTTGAAATACAGTAATATTTTTATGCTTGCAAAACTTCTGCTTACCACTTGGCATCTTATTGGTTGTGTTGCAGTTGATATTCATCCAAGGTCTTTGACTCACAAGGAAGTGACTGCATGTTCTTCTCTGAGACATTCCACAGAAAATGCAAGGCAGTACAAGATTGCTTTTCTCAAAATGTAACACGTCTTGCCTTTACTGTGGGACGTGTGCATGAACAGTTACAGAAAACAACTTCTGTGCAGTAGCTTTTTGCGGTGTGGTTTGTTCATTATTTGTGAAACACTGAAGTACATGTAAAATAGTGCTGTCTGCGTTTGCTTTTCTCAACTGGCTTATATTTCTCCCATGTTTGGATCATTTCCCCTGTCTACACTATCTTTGAAATTGGCATTTGATGGCTTTTGGGACACTTGTAGTAATTTGCCCCAGGTTATACAGAAACTGACTCGAAGAGTATGACTCGCCACAGGGTTAAAATTTCCACCTCCATATCATTCAAAGGTGTTATTTTGAATTACTTCATAATAGAATTCACTGCCCTGTACAGCCACAGAATAGCTCTGACAAGATCTTCTCATTTTTTGTAAGCGCCTGTCTGAATGAAGGTGGGGAGGGGTTTAGAAGTGACTTATTTAAAATTACTTAAATTAACTTCTTCCTGTTTAAAGTTAAGCACTGGCCTAAACACATTCATTGCTTCTATCACAAAATGGTGCAGTAGGAAAGTATATAAACAAGTACACATTGTACTGTTGGATAGACTGGCTTTTGGATTTGTCATAACCCAAGTTTCTGGCCAAATTCCAAGTCATTTAATTATATTAAGGCTGACTTGCACTCCCTTGCAAGTACAGTTTGAGTATGGTATTCCTAATATCCCATCCTTAATAGTTGTGTGAAATTGCGTTTGCCCTCAGGAACAGAGTTAAACCTGAGTGGATGAACATTTATTATGCTTTTTTTAATTGGTGGAGTTTTTAAGGAGTTCTTTTGGAATTAAATTCTATTAGCACACATAGTTACTGGCTTTAGTAGTTTTTGAAAACTGCAAGTAGTTGTATTAAGCTTTTGATTCCTAAAACATAGTCACTTTGAGGGAGTAGCTTACTGAAATTGAAATTCCAAAGTAGCTAAATACCCTACTGTCTAATTGTGTTTCTGTGCAGTGGAGGTTATGTTCCAGACATAGAAATAATGAGTCAGGTTACAAAATGGTGAGGTTTTTATTAAAAAAAAAAATAAAAAATTAAAAATTGCAATTTACATTGGAATAAACTCTTAACCTGTAGAGTTTGTTATTAAAGTTTCCTCTGGTGGCCAGAGGAAAAGAGATTCACCTATTCACCTTTTGGAAAAAAAGTCTGTGTTCTCATGGAACTGTGTGCCTTGGGGAGGGTGGTGTATTAGGAAAAGCAACAAACATAATTTAAAGCAAGTAAAAACTTTGGTTGTAAGTGCAACATTGATGCTGCAGTAGGGAAAACCAAATAATTTTATAGAATCTGGTATAATTTCATTCCAAAATACATGATGTAGGTTTAAGATGGAGTTATAAAAATGCATTGTCTTTTCTTTCTGCAGTTCTGTTCTCCTAGTGTAGCTTTCTGATCAAGAGTTTTTGCAGACTGAGTTGGAGAGTTGGCCTGTGTAACAGTTTCACTTTTTTTTCCTTTGTTTGCATAGCATGTTTTATAAGCATGTCAAAGAGGGGAAAATAGAGAAATAGCAGATAGTCTACCAGTCTGTTCAAGTGCCTTGCCTGGCTTTTGGGGAATTAGCTTGTGTGCTTCAGGGGAGAATGAAGTTAAAGTTGTTAAACTTGAAGGTGTGTTTTGTTCTGGTAGTCCATTGCAGCCTGTTTTCCACAACATCTGTAGCATTTTTCAGACATTGACTTAAGCATACAAAAAAAATTGTATGACATAACTGCAATGCAATACTGCAAGCAGTGCTGCAGTGTGGTTTAGGCAAGATCAGGCGAAAAGGTCCTCACTGTTGCTCACACAGGATGTTCTGCAGGTGATTATGTAACTAATGGAACATCTGATTAAGTGTGAGGAAAGGATTGTTCCTCCCAAATTTTAATACCCACTTGTAATTATTTTAAAGTGTTGCTCAATACACTAATTTGCTAGTAGGTTAGGTTAAGTTAGTACCTGGAAGTTTTTACAAAACAGCTAGAAATGGTTTAGTTGTTCTTGTTTTTAAAACTTTATACAGTGAAATTATAGAAGTAAACTGAGTTAGAGTAGTATTTTTTTTATCTGTAGGAATTGCTCACTTTAAGGCAAGTTAAGGGAATATTGGTGGTGAGCTGCTGTTGCAAAGCAGTACTCATAGTCTCTTGTGTCTGCGCAGTGTTTCGTGGTCAGATCGTAGAAGTCAACTTCAGTGCAGTCATAGGTGTGTGATGACACTCATGGTGGGTTTATAAATGGTCATAAGTACAGCCGGACTGGATCAGATGTCACCTCTTGCTGACGGTGGCTGCCAGCAGGCATGTAGGAAGACAGAACAGGACAAGCAGCACTCCCAGCTGCTCATTCTGCTCTCCCTGCTTCCTTCAGTGTGTGGCATGGGGATTCTCCTCTTGGAGTAAGGTAGTGGGGAGATCCAACTGCACAGTTACGGAGCATCGTAGAGTCAGTGCTATTGTATTTCATTCTTCTCGCTGGATTTTTCTTAGATTAATTTATCCAATTGCTTTCCATAGCTGTGTAAACGTCTATCACGCATGGCTTCATCTGGCAAGTAGTTCAGCAATTTAATTATATGCTGTTACAAACTACATTTATTTTTTTGTTCTGACCTTGCCACCATCTAGTTTCTTTCGATAAATCCTAGTTCTTGTATGACACAGCAAACATCAAGCTGTATGCCCCCATTCCATGTGATTCATGATTTTCAGACTTGTGTCGTATGTCCGCTCTGTTTTGCTTCTCTAACTTAGTTGTCTCGGTCCTGAGAAGCAGGCTTTCCATATCTTTAATCATCCTTTTGAGTACCTCTGAACATTTTCCAGATGTGCTGTGTTCTTGTTGAGGTGGAATTACATATCGTGTTCAAGATACTTGCTGCTGGATATATTTCACTTTTATCTAATAATGCCCATCTAATTGGCTTTACCACCTGCATTTTGATTTGCTTTTTTGTATACATGTGCCCTTAGATAGGCAACTGGCTGTAGAAATTTAATTGTGGGAGGTTTTTAAGACTGTGTCATGGAAAGTTTTAATCCTTTAGAAGTGCCTGATTCTCTTGGAAGCTAGCTCCTGGCTCTTTTTTTTTTTTTCTGCAAATCCTTAGTACATTAAGTCATGTGTTCCAGAGCAGCTGCAACACATCTTGTGATAGAAGGGAAGTACACTTTTTGGTGAGGCACCCTTGTGTATTAGTATCCCAGGTACGTTTAATCCTGACTGCTTTGAACCCCTGTGCCTCTTTCTTGGCACTTTCATTTGGTTTGTGGTGTCCCAGAGATGGAGAGCAGAGGGCATGGTGCTGCAGTGTGAGTGCATGATGCTTGTGCTGTGACGGGGCGGGGGAGTGGCGGTGGTAAGAAATGGAGACCGAGTTAGTGAGGTTAATGCTTAACTCCAGAGACTTGTCAGGTCTGCTTTTCTTGTGTATTAGGAATCATTTTGGCTTAATACCTCGAAGGGGAAACTGGGATTGTTTAATTGCCTGATTCAAGCAGTAGTGCTGTTTATTGTCAGTGCTTTTTTCCCATGTATATTTCTGGAATGAGTTG